TGCGCGGCACGGTGTTGTCGCTGCGGTGTATAGTCTGTTGCTCCGAGCTGCTGATTCATCGATCTGTTTGCCTATTCTGGCCCTCTCCGGTCCGATATTGAACATCGGCTCGCCTTTGAGGTCTCTCTCTCTCCCTCTGGTTTTCTTTGACTATTTTTTTTAAATTTTATTTTTATCATTTTGTTCGCGAAGAGTGCACGATTCGCTGATTATTCGAGTGGGTGAAAGGGAATGTGGCTAGCAAAGGGAAGGTTTGTTAACTTGGACTGCATTACTACTCGGTTGGGAACTTTTTGTGGGATGATTTTCTTTTTTAATTTTTAATTACTTGTGATGAATTTAATTTTTTTTTTTTTTTTTTTTTTTCACTTACGTAATTTGATATTATATTTCATGCAAATTGTTTGCTGCCACAAGGTTTCCTCAATTAAATAGGCAACGATATTGTATGATTTTACAGTACAAAGTTACATCATTTTAAAAAGTAGTACCTATCACGAAATTTACTAAATAAAGTAGTACTTGCATTTTTTAAATTTACTTTGCCGAAAGACATAGTAATGCATACATTACAATGTACATGTTTTTATTTTTTATTAAAACATTAAAATCTCATGAAAAAGGTTTCACCAATTTGTGGACAAGTTTAGAAAGTTTAGTTTTTATACAAAATACTTGATGGTTAATTGAAACAAAGTAAAGTATCCGAAACTTTACGGTTTTTGGAGTTGAATCCTTTTTCTGAAGTAAAATATTTATTTAGAAAAAGACAATATTTTAAATTCCTTAAATTGTAATGCACTTTGACTAAAAAATATATCTCAATAAGTTCTGTCCATAAAAATAAAAAAAAAGTTTAATTTATCATGGTTAACGTAGTATATTTAAAAAACGTTATTAATAAAACGTAATTTTTTTTTTACTACGGAATATTGAGTAAAAGTACCTACGACCATTTTATATACGAAACATGAAATTAATTCAATCTTGAAATGAAAATACTTTATTTTCTTCGTAATTTCAAACGAAAATGTAATGAAACGTCAACCAGACACGAGCTTTTTTTGGCGAAGATAACAATAATTTACGGCGAAGATGTGCCTGCTGCGTCGGAAAAAGTGAATTAATGTACCTTCTATGAAAAAAAACTTATGCTTGGACACGTAATTTCATGAATAAAAATAAAAAAAATCTACGTTTCATGTAAAAAAAAAAAAAAAAAAGAAGTGGAATATTTAACCTTTAACTTATCATTTTTCAAATCTTCAGGTAACTTTCAAAAACTCCAAATCGTCAACGATACCAAGCCATATTTAAAAAATAATTATAAAATCCATTGAAATTCCAAATGAATCCCGAGCACATCTAAATCACAAATCCATAAGTCTACCCTCGTATTCGCAGTAGCAATTTGTTATCCGAGCTTTTCACTATTTAACCCCGCAATCGTTTACCAAGCCATTTATCCCGACGGGAGTCCCGGGGAAAGTCGACAATAACACCGAGAGCAGCTATATGAGCAAAGGGTCAAAAACATAAATGAAAAATCAGAGGGTCCCCGCCGAGATAGAGAGCAAAAGGCCAGCGAGTATACGGAGAAAACTAAAACAAAAAAAATCACATCCCACGTCCTGCTATAAAACGTATAATATACACACACACGCGCGCGCGCGCGTTTCGTACAGACACAGGAAAGTGCTCTCCGGCGATTACGGAGGTGGTGGGAGGGATCAGTGCGGCTTGTTTCATAAGCTCGCGAGATAACCGTATTTCTTTCTGAAAACGGTGGAAAGCTCTCTTTCTCCGGCTGGTGGATGAGCGCAAAGAAAAATATAAAGGGGATTCAGCAAAGCACGGCGCTGCATTAGCTCTTTCCGGGCGAGTCGTCCGATACGAGTGACGGACGTGAGAAAAATCGCACTCTCTCTGCTGTTTATGTATGCTTTGTTTTTTTTTTTTTTTTTTTTTTCATCTCTTGCGCACAGATTGAACACTTTTATCCGTGCGATGACTGTACAAATAGTATTGTTTTTTTATTTTATTTTTTTTAATGAGCGCGCACGAGTGCAACTCTCGACGGAGAGCTTCAATTAGGAGTTTATAATTGAGCGATCGCACGCGATACGCGCATACCTTCGCATTCATAATTAATTTATCGCATGTGCCGTAACGAGCTCACAGCTACTGGAGTTGCTGGCTAGCTCTTCTCTCTCTTTTTTTTTTTTTTTTCTTTTCGCGACCGTTGATAATTATTTTCATTGCGCCTATACGCCGAACAATTTAATTACCGTCCCCGGAATCGTCGTTTGCCCCGCTTTCTGCGGCTATTACGAGAGTTGAAATTCTTCATCATCGTCGGGGCACGAGGGGCGCTCGATTGGTAGGTAATAATCGTAACTGACAATCGTGACGTTTTAAACGAACGATGTCAATGTGCGCAAGTACCTTTTTTTTCTCTCTCTCTTCCTTTTGCGCGTCGAACTGCAGCGTATTCAATTTCAACAGTGATTGAGAGAAAAAGAGGGAGGAAAAAAAAAGAAAAAAGAAAGAGAGTGATAAAAAGCAAAACAAACGCCGGCAGCTGATTGATAGCACATATTGAAATTAGCACGTCGAAGGGAGCGAGAAGATGGAGGGGAGGCTGCATTATTGGGAGTTTGTTAGCGGCTCTCTCGGCGAGGAAGAACGAGGAGAACNAAAGGATTCCCGGTGCGAAAAAAAAAAAAGCGAGCAAAGTCTCGTCTCTAGAGCTTATACAAGTCGCGAGGAGGAGACAATCGATTCCAGCATCGGTGGATGAAAAGGAAAAAAAGGCTTCCGCGAATCGCTAAATCCCAGCTGTACGTATAGGGATGATCCGAGCTTTTGGATTTTTTTTTTCTTTACCTTCGCTGTTGCAAATTCAAAGGTGATCCACGAGTCAGGGTCGCCTTGACGAGCTTAACGCGCGTACAATGTAATACACGGCCGCGTCGCCGCTGTAAATTTACTCAAGCGCAATTGCACACGCGCAAACAGCACGTTAAACGGGGGGAGTAAGTACTTTTTTTTTTTTTTTTTTTTTTTCGAGCACGCGGTGCAAGCTTCTCCAAAAGAGACGCGAAAGAGCGGCCTAACGAGGCCGAGTGAAAGACACTTGCAGCGTCTTAAGCTCCTCTCGTCTTTGTTCTTTTTTGCGGAGGGAAAAAGTATGTTGCAGCGAAAAGTGGATGGGGGCACAAAGGCGGGGAAGTTGAAAATTAAGCGACGACTTGGGGACGAGAGCTGCTACTGCGACGAAAAGACGGAGAAAACGGGGCCAGGGTATAACGTGAGCATGCATGTACGGCATAGTTCCGACTAGAGACGACGCGTAATCCCATTGCAAAGAGTCGAGAGGAGTTTAATCTCTGGCGCCTACGCTCGAGAATGGGAGGAAAAGACGGGGAGAGGAAGCGAAACTCGTGTACGTACTTTTGCCCGAAGGTAAGTAAGAGAGTCTCGCGTTGATGATGGACACGCGTCCGGCACATTATATAGACCCGAAGCCATTCTTCGGCCAACTCTCCTCACGTGTACGGCTTCGCGGGCTCGTACGTACTTGTACAGTGTGAACTTCAACTTGGCACTACTTAACAATCCCTGATTTCGTGCTGCTCGTGTATTGGCAAGCGCTCCGCGCGTAGTCGGGTCACGGACGCTTCGGTATCGCACGACGATTGTCTCTTTTTCTACTTTTCCGGCCTACGCGGGATCCCTTTGTGCTTATCCGCGCGAGTATGTGTGTGTTTGTGTGTAGGTACAAGACTAAGCCGCGAAAGTCGAGGAAAGCGTGGTTATCCCTTGTTTTTCATTTCTTTTCCCCGTTCTCCGGAAAACCTTGACTTTGCGAAGCGCGACTGATCCACTTTTGATTATTCGGCGATGTTTGCGGGATTACGGACGCTCGATCGGAGGATTACGCGGATTAGCGGGGGAAGGTCTTCGCGGCTTTGGATGTAAAGTCGCGGAAAATTGGGGATTTCGAGGAAACTGAGGGATGATTTGGGTCGCGGTGAGGTTGCCTCGGGGTGGTGTTTTTGCATCGATAATGCCTCGACGTTTCAAAGGGTTTCCGGAAGAGTCGGGCCTTTTGTGATTTTGAAATTTGATGTTTGCGCGGTGATTTTTTTTCTTTTTTCCACCAAGTCGAACTGAGTAATCAGAATTCAGCTTCGAAAGGTGTATTGTTCAATTGTGTCGACAACCGTTGATATTATCATTATTAGGATTATGTTACGCAATAGTTTCAAGAGGCTCGAGCGAGCTCGAGTCTACAATTAATAATACATTTAAAAGATTACGAAAAGTGTGTAACTAAAACTTTTGGCGAAATCATTTTTATAAATTTTATTTTTAAATAACTGATGAAAAATGTAAATGTAAATTTTAATGTTGTAAAAATAAAGGCATCAATGCTGAACAATACGTACAGGGTATTATCTACGTGAATCTTGAACGTGAAACTATTAAAATGATCTAAAAAGTAAAGTAAGTCAAGCTCTAATGGTTCTACCTCGGCACATAAGTGCGCAACTTTTTTTTCTAATTTATGCGCAATTAGTTATTACCTGACTACGAGTTATACATATACGTACACATGTATATATAGCTGAGCATTGTATTAATAATTCACTGAATAATTTATGTGTATAATTAATGCTAATGGTTCTCATTAACTTTGCGTGGAAATAAATATTACATCCTGCAACCATCCACGGGACTGTATATAATGTTTTGCTTTAAAAAAATAAGTATAACTACGTTGTAAAAGTGATTTTTTTCCCAGTACCGAGAACAATAATGTTTTCTCGAGTTCAGTTTTCATTCCGATTCTTCGTAACTCAATAAAAACTAAACATGTATTTCCATGCCCCTTTAATGTTTTGTAATTCGATATTTATGTAAATTTTTTACTGAATAAAAAATGAATGTATTCATGCTTTATTTTCTCTGATTTTTTTTTTTTTTTTCACTTTCAGGCAATGGACGATGCGTTTGGTGCGCGATTCCAATTTGTTTTCAAACGATGCAGTTTTCGAGGGAACTGACGGCCCCATCAACTTCGACACGAGCCACTCGTACACCGGCACAATACTCGGTAAGTAAAATTTCATCAATTTATATTTCACCCCCACTTTTCCCTTCCACGTGGTAAATATACAACACAGCAGTGCTAAAAAATTCATCCCGAACTCTTTGCTGTAAAAAAAATTTTTAATAGAGTATGCAAATATTGAAGTCAATCTAAGGCCTTAAATTATTCAAGTGTACGTAGTATAGCTCTGTGTGGGCTTCATACGCAATGTTGAAACAACCGCTTGATTGCTCGAGCACCTCTATGAAAACAAGTCACACAAGTATCATTCAGATAATTAATTCTCCAACCTAAATTTTTCCATCGACCTCATGCACATTAAAAAAGTTACAGATACTATTTTTGCACTCCAAACGAACCAATCGTCATCGCTCCGTATTTATTTAATTTCACTAGTTTGAAAAAGCACAGCAAAGTCGTAAACTCCTTTCATCAAAGTGTATATGGAAGAAGGTCGGGGATGGACGCGAAATGCGGGTCACTCGCATGAAAGGAGCCTATAAAGAGGAGGGAAAAAAACGAGAGGGGCTAGATTATTAAACGCAGCCGAGCGCATTTGGGGCTCCGTCGCGTGATCTCTCTCTCTCTCTTTGCCCCTTATTTCGCGCTCGCACTCGGAACGAGAGAGCAGAGAGTTGGCTTATCGGACTTGTAAATTCGCTTAGCCGATACCTCATTAAAAATTAATGCACGCTGTACTGGATATTTATGTATATGTGTGTATGTGTTCGAGTACCAACTCTCTCGCGTTTTTTTCTTTTTTTTTTTTTCGTATTCGTGAAGCGCGAGAAATTTCCATTTAACCTCAAGAAAGTGGAAAAGAGAGCGGGGGGAGCTCGCGGTGGCCTAGACACATACTTCGAGGGTCTGAGCACACGCGAGGACGCGACCGGATAGTCTTTGCTCTCTGCTAACGTGGCTTTGGATGAAAGAAGAAGAGGATAAAAAAAAAGCGATAACAGCTCGAGGGCTTTGGCTCTGTTTCTCTCTGATGCTTCTCCGGAAAGCTTTTTTGTGGTACCGCGCATATTTACGTAAGTGCTAGTATATACGTATGTATGTATGTATGCGCCCGCGTGAAAGAGCTTTTTTTTCCCGCTTTGCATAGGCGTTGGTAATTTTCTGATTGAAGAAGCAAACGTGTGCGCGAGTGTAGGTGTGAGAGTCGCGCTGGGATCTTTGCCAAATGCGTTCCCGTTCATTATGGGCATTTTATGCAGGATCAAAGCATTATATTCTACCTTGTACCGTCTGTCTGATAATCTTTCGAGGCCAACTCAGCACTCTTAGAAATACCGTCAGTTTTTCGTGGTGAATTTTGCAAAAAAGCTCGTAAAAGACCTTACAAATATTTGTATGAAAATATATAAGAGGGATTTCGTACGTAAATGACTTTTTCTTACGAGTGCATCTTGGCAACTCCTCTTGTTTTCTGCTGGGTCTAGAGCATTGACTGGAAATATTTCCAACGTGATGCGGTATAAGTTTTGTAACATGTGTTAGGCATCAGGCCATGGCAAAGTTACATGATAAAGCTGATTTTGGCACTTTAAACTTACCTATACAATTTAAATAAGTCGAGAAAAAATTACCCACGTAGAAATTGTAATTTCATACTTTTTGAATGTTGATTTACTGTTACGAGTTCAACTATTTACAATAACTGTATGTTAAGTTTTAAGTATGAAATACACAAAAAAATTTTTTCTCCTTACATTTGCACAATCTGTAACATACATCACTAATGTGCTTAATGTATTTCCGTATAATTTTGTGGTATCGACCAACTTTTGGTATTTGCTAAAATTATGCTGTTTATCGTATGTTGGGAATAATTACGATTAGTAATTTTCAGAAAATGCAAAGCTAAAAACTTTAGAACGCACAGCTTTTTCCAACCAGTTGAATAATACGTAACATACAACTTAGTCATTAAAATCCAAAATTAAAATTAATAGTTACCATGAATTTCTCGAAAAAAAAAAAAAAAAAAAAAAAAAAAAACACCCTGAAAGATAATAAAGATAATAACGAAGAGATAAATCGATCCTGCGAGTCTTTATGTTTGACAAATGACCGTGTCGAGCGCTAAACAAGCCAGCGGGAGGACGATAACAAGGAAAAAAGCAGAAAAAAGCTCTTCGGGCGTACTATGCATCCATCTCCTCGGTACTACTCATTTATAGAGTAAATGCGTGCACATCAGGTACATACCTGTGTATACTCCATATAGCTCTCTCCCATCGGAGCACCTTCTTACAAACCTGCATCACATGATGCAACCAACCGGTATACAACTGCAGAGCATCAGCAGGCACTCCGCGCTGAAAGTCGAGATTGCAGTCGAGCGCTCATCCTCTTTGTCTCTCCGCCCTTGCGCCGTGTGTGCACAGAGAGCTAATGGAAAACAGGGTTAAAGCGAGGGTGGCACGTGTATATAATACAGGCAGGCGCTCAGGTTGCTTCATTAGCCCGGAGTTGCAGGGCTGCCGCGCAGTGAGGTGGGCGGGGGGGCCTTTCTCCTCTCCTCGCGCGGGAAATCCATCATCTCCCTCGTCGCGGATCCTCGGAGCGTCACTCTCGCGTGACACATGCTCCGTTACGAGATTTCGCTCCTTGTTGCCTTTCGCGCTATCTCTGCCTCTGTTTAAGCTCGCCTATGGTGGTGCTTGTTTTGCGAGTGGGAAAGGGTTGTCAATTTTCGAGGAGCCGATGCTTTCGATTGCGATATCTCGTGGGATAGGTTTTCGGAACAGGATTGCTTGGTGTTGATACACGGTCACTTTCGCGCCGATGTGGAATGTCGTTGGGTGTTAGTGTACGAAATTATTGCTAAAGTCGAGTGTTTTTGTACCAAAGTTGTTCGCCGGGGAGGGGGGAAAGTTTAACGGCGAATAAAACAAGAAAACACAAGAGAAGGGAGGGAGGGAGGGAGATTAATTTTTCTTGGCTTTCGTGGACTGTAACTAACGGACTTTTTCTCTTCATATACCTTTAATTTAATGGTCTCTCAAACTTCGCTCTTTGATCATCAATTTCGCAGAAAGTTTTCCCGAAATGTTCAAAAGTTCTTTGGATTCCCGTGTACTCTGGTGAATTTTCATTTTCAACGCTTCGCATGATACTCGTCGTTCAAGAGGATTTGCGAGTTTGATAATTTTTTTTATTATAAAAGTTGCTTTGTTACATTTTATTTGGAACGGCGAAATGGAAAATTGTTTCAGGGGTGTAAAGTTTTGTTAATTAATTCACGTGGTACTCCTTGAATCGTCGATTGCAACATATCTACGTATAATATTATGTAGAATACAAACATAAAATTCAGAACAATATGCTGAGTTAACAAAATTTGTAAAAAAAAACTCTTATCAAAAACCTCAACCAGAATAATGTCCTCTGGAGAATTGTTACCATACCAAACAAATTTTATCACACATTGATTGAGAAATTAAAATTTTTAATTGAATTAATATAGGATGGACACAAGAAAAAAACCAACAAGAAATTCGTAGCTGTAACTAATTTTCAGTTGATGGAAAAAAAATTGTTCGTTGTATCTAAAAGTATGAAAAATTAACTATCATTCATATAGTGAAGCCAACTGTATTTAATTATTTCCGTGTACTTACAGCTCGAAAAAAAAAAAAAAAAAAAAAAAAAAAAAAAAAAAAAAGAGTAAAATTCCTTTTATTTTTTTCGGCACAGCTGGCGTTCACTATACATCACAGTCAGGAAAGAAGTACATGGGAAACGAAGGTTATAAATATTCCGGGCGCGCCCGCGCACTTGAGGCTCTTACGCGCGCTTCCTCCGCACTTTTTCTTCGTTATTTTTGTTCTCACTCCACTCAAAGGAGGAAAAGTTAAGAGGTCGAGTAAGACCGTCATTTTCTCGGCCCACCAGCTTTCTCATCGTCAAAGGAATCGAATTAATTTATCATACCGGACCAGCACGCGGCGATTCAATTCTCTCTCTCCCTCTCTCTCTGCTCCCTCCCCCTCACTATATACAACAGTCCTACAACAGGGTCTCCTTACAATTGTACGTCGTGAGGACCTCTTGGCTCTCTCACGGTGATATTGTAAGAAAACTCATCTCTGCCGTGCCCGCGTCTCGGTTTCTTGCTGAGGAATAAAATTGCAGTCCTTGGACGCACGTTTGATGTTGTTATTGCATTTGCAAGAGTCATCTCGAGGGTAAGCGCGGGCTATTGTAGCTTTTGTCGTCATGAAAAGGCAATTAAAAAAACAAGGGGAGCTCTCTCCCTCTGTCTTTCATTCCTCCCTCCCTCTCTCTCTATCTCTCTTTGTGGAGCTTTGGTGATTATTTTTTTCTTTTCTTCTTCTCCCTTGGCCGTATTTCTCGCGCGTTCACTTGAAATTAAAAAAGTACCGCCGAGACGTCGAGAGAGCGAGTATTGGAAAAGAAATTGATGTGCAGCGGAATGCATCTGTCGGCGGACCATCGGAATTGATGGAAAAGAAAGACTCGGTTCTACGGTGACGGAGAAGAATTACCGTGGTGGGGGAGAAAGGAACGATCGGCACTTTTAATAAGGCGATTATAGTGCGCCGAGTGATTATGAAGAGCAATAATATATACCTGGAGAGTTTTCTCGGGAGGGCAAATATAAAGGTCGAGTAGGACGAATTTTTTTTTTTTTTCTCATCTCGTTACTCTTGGATCTTTGGTTAATGATTAAAACCTCGTTGATTGTTCAATACTTTTAATCGTCAAAAATTAAATATTTGTTTCGTATCGAGCACGAACTCGTTGAGCAAGCCTATATGTTATGCTTACTCTGATGGATGCTGCTTTTAAATCATGCATCGATCGAGTGATTTGATTCATCATTTATTGTTACGCTTTCGCATTATTTTTTTTTTACGAATACTTGGCTTTTTATTGATTTCAATGAGTCCAATTGGAATAATGTGCACGATTTAATGGGCAAGTACCTACTTATCAAGTGCAAAATATGAAACGTCGTTTACTCAATTCCC